ATAATAATAAAGAGTTTTAATTATTTCTTTATTCTGAAAAGCCCATTTGGGACGGATAAAGTATGTATGTAATGTAATAATATTCTCCCAGCCCCCCTACGTTAAAGCAGTGAACTTTGGCAAGGAACCATAACATATTTACTTTGTCTGTCGGATATAAGAGCATTTCACCACAGGCAGCCCAAGCTCACTACTAGAAAAGCGCACGTGACTCTTACCGTACTGCGCAACGTTTTATATTTATAAAGGTTTGTATGGGATGTTATCGGTTTGCCTTAAAAGAGAGAAAAAATGTCTTGTTTTGAAATAAAATGGACTTACCTTATTGCCTTGTTTTTTTCTTTGTTGATTCCTAGCGTCTCAGACCATTTTGATGCGTTTTCGGCGAGTTAGCGCTATGTTGATGTTCAAATCTTTTAGCAGTTGAACACCAACCAGAGTTAATAGTTCCCTCTATTTAACTCTGCACCAACATAGTGCTAACTCGCCGAAAACGCTTCAAAATGGCCTGAGACGCAAGGAATCAACGAAGAAAACAACAAGGCAATAAGGTAAGTCCATTTCATTTCAAAACAAGACATTTTTTTCTCTCTTTTAAGGCAAACCGATAACATCCCATACAAACCTATATAAATATAAAACGTTGCGCAACACGGTAAGAGTCACGTCCGCTTTTCTAGTAGTGAGCTGGGGCTGCCTGTGATTTCACTGGCTGGATTTCTTCTCGGTTTCCCGTGGTTTGTAGGAATTGTTGTTGTGTGGCCGGTAAGACCGGCCCCTCTTCCCTAAAAAGGCTTTCCACTAGAGTGAGAAGATTTGCCCTTCCAGCCATCGCTTTGGTTTCGGTAATATGACTTTGCAGTAGTCGTATGGCCATTTTGTTAGTTGCTGTGACATTGTTAAGCTAAGATTGCAGCTCATCGCCAAATAATAAGCCCGTGATGGGTACTTGAGAGCCGCACAGCAGAAAGTAAATTTTCTTCTTCTGCCGGTGAAAGGGGGTCCCTTCCACTCATATTTTCGGCAGTCATGCAGCGATTTTCTCGGTGTTCGCTCAACACTGAGTGAGCGAAACAACAAGTCTCCGACTTTCCCAAAAGGATCCCTCACAACTGATATTCCCGGGATCGTGCGCTTTCTCAGGTGACTCCGTAGCGACCAATGACCAATGACGAAACAGAGTCTAAAGTCTTGCGGAGCCCCCTTTTCGGAACTTCGCGAAGAACAGTGACAAGCCCTTTGAGAGACCTGGTACTGGATGGGCAAATCCCAGCATTCATTTGGATACTCTAGCAGAAGAAGATAAGAAAACTATTTCCCTTTTCCTGGGAAAGTTCGTAAATCGCAAGATGGCCATTTTAAGTCGTCGTGAAAGTCGCTCAGTTGTTTTTCTCCCGTTACTATTTTATTTTTCAGGTTAGTATGAACTTGCTTATGCTTTACAACATAATTTTAAGATACTTATCAAAAGACCAACGCATATACATTACTTTCACAATCAGCTCTAAGATGTACACTAGAACTACCACCCTTGTGTTGCTATTTACAGCAGTAAATGTAACTGTAACTGTAGCTCAGATTACTGTAATACTGGGCAATTAAAACTGAGTGGCTTGGCTGAGTTTATCCGAAATCAGTGTAAACTCAAATCAGAGTTGCCACAGGTCAGGATAAAGTAAGGGGTGAATTAATTTCTTTTAAAGGGAGGGAAGAATTAGGGAGTTTCACTTTGAGTCGGAAGGAATTCATCTCAAGTAAATGTGAGGAAGTTCATCTTGTCGTGGCCTTCTTCATGATGAAAGATGGAAAAACCTTCCTTTTTGTGATGAAAATGTCATTCATGTTTTGTTAATACAGTTGACAGATTCCTGTCCCTTTGGAATGTAGGTCCAATTTGGTTTGTGAATGAAATCGTACATTTTTTTTTCTTCTGTATAATTTGTTTTTGAATATTTTTAATGTTACCTTACTCCTCACAAACATGAAGGGTGCTGGAGTGGTAGAATATTGTTTAATGAAATAGATCAAAAACCTGATTTTGGGTTTCAAAGAAAACACTCCTTTAAGGTGGCTCCGTAAAGTGTTAGCCTAATAGGACACATGCGAGCATTATGTTTTATGAATATTTTTTTTAATGTTTTTTGCCTTCCTTATCACTAAAAGTTTCCAAAATGTTATAAACAAAGGTTGGGCTGTTGTTTTCTGTTGTTAATATTAACTACATTTTAAATAATTGTTCCATTTTATTACTCTCCATTCTTCATAAGGTTTTTGAAAGATTTGTGGATGATTAGATAATACATGTTAACTATTTGAGACAGTTGATATTTTATTACACGAGTGGCTCTAATTCTAACGTTGGTTTATGCTATACTATTCGTGCTTGATAAGATTTAAGTATTTGAAGTTAATCCACTAGCTTGTTGGATTGGCCTGCTGTACTTTTTTTTTCTATTCACACCCTTCAGAACTGTTGAGTTCCAGTTATTGGAATATGATACCAATTTATTTTATGAGCAAAAAAGCTCCTGGATGCTTCAGAAAGGAAACTTCAGAATTTTTGTCTTGTGTCCGACAACTCCCTGAAAAGCACCAAGAAAATGATGGGACCCTACCTTTATCTTTTTGAGTATTACCAATCTGCGAGCCAGCGAGCCATGCGAGCCAGCGAGCCATGCGAGCCAAGGGGCAAGCCATGCGAGCCAAGGGGCAAGCCATGCGAGCCCACCGAGCCATGCAAGCCATGCGAGCCATGCGAGCCACAGTCAAAATGTTAAGAATTTTTATTTGTTACATTTATATTCGCATGAGAACAAGAACAAGAGCAATGGCACAAGATAACTCTGCTAAAGAACGAAGCTGTTAAAATTACGTGATTTACACACCATCCTTGACACCAATACACAGAGTTGCCCTGGAAGTACTGTTCTCTTTTCTCTTGAATGATTTTCCATATGGATATCAATGAATGACAGGAGTCAATCGATTACCACTCAACAACCCATTCGAGTAGCGGAAGGGGTTGGAGCTGTATGTTTTCCTCAGAAAACTTTTTCACTTAAGTCTTGAACCTTAATTAATTTTTGTTGCATTGTTTTTATTTTTTGTGGATCCTAAGCGATTTGAATAGATAAAAGGATTTTTTCTGGGTATAATTCAATTTTAAGCACTCTTGTAGCTAAATTTAAAATTAATTTACCAGGGAAAGAGAGAGTACCCTGCGAGGGAGGTTGTACCGTTTACACTTGTCCCCAGGATCATCTCCGCTTTCAAGATGGCAGGCGTATGGTTTATAATGATAGTAGTTTAGTGATAGTCGGGCGCGAAATGATCAACAACCTCCCAGACCTTGGACCAATCAAAGAAAAAAGATACTCGCAAAAATGGCCCGCATGGCTCGCACTGTGGCTTGCATGGCTCGCTGGCTCACAGATTTAGCAGACCCTATCTTTTTTTATGCCATAACAAAATTATAAAGAGATAATTGTATCTTTGCTTAGATGTTTGTTTAGAGCAAGGAACTAAAGCTCAGGGAAACTTTGAGATGAACTGTGGTGCAAACAACTTTGTTTTGCCATGTGAAACGGTCTTCAACTAAGATCTTCTTAATGTACTTATGGATTCCTCTTTTAACAAAAGGAATAGTAAGGGATAGTTGGCCTTCGTGGGCAACCTTAACTCAGCAACAAAAGCTGTCTAAAACTTTAACATCTTGCATGAGTAATCCTTGTAAGTAAAATCATGCTTTACACCAGAATTAACAGCAAATTACGAACCAATGAAGGTGATCCATGACTACCATATATACTTGTGTATAAGTCAACCTTTTATGACCAAAAAATCAGCCCAAAAAATCACCCTCAACCTATACACAAGTCGCACACATAGACCTTACTCAAGCAATCCAAGAAATTAGCATAACGATTGCCAGAAGTCTATTAGGAAAACTGAGTTTAAAAAACTATTCTAATTGTGTTTGAGTTTTTTCAGTTTTCAGTGCATTCTTCACCAACAAAAAAATTTAAAAAAATGATTTTTAAGTGGCTTTAACATAACTTTGATGCTGCTTATGGTGCAGAACTTTGGTCTTCATTGAACGATTACAGAAGCTTAGTGACCAGGCAAATGCTATTGTCCCACGGTCTATTAGCACAAAACCAAACAGCAGCACCAAAAAGCAATATGTAACTTTGCTGAATTCTATAATATTCATTGATCATACAAAGAATCATTTAATATTGGGTGGAGCATTTGAATGCTGTTTTGGCTTGGGGGTAGTGTTACATACAGCATTTTAGGTAACCCCATTTCCAAATCACTAGTGCTTTCAGTATCCTCGCTGGGTATACCCTAAACTCTAAAAGTGAATTAAAGAAGAGACTGGGGCAAGTAACATGGCATCCAGTGTTAACTTGTTGACCGAAGAAATCCTTTCTGAAGTCAGAGAAATTGCTGTGCTAAGTTAGAAGATACAGAAATGTCTGTAAGAGTTGGGTTTGAGAAAAGGAGCAATCAATCAGATGATTTGAGTCAGTTGCTTTGCTAATAAACAAAATTTAGATACATAGCCAATTTTTTTTTGTTTTGCAATTTGCAAGGACTTTGTGTACTGAGAACATCATATCAATAAGGATTTGGGTATGTTCTAGCCACTCAAAGGTGTAGGGTAGACAAGAAATAGTGTCCTTAACTTAGATTATTAAACACTGACTAAAGCTGACAAGAAGGCCATGGCAGCCTTAATAGTTGGTTTTTACCCATGTGACCCCTAACTTGACAACCGTTGCTATCCGCCATGATTGTGTCCCTCAGGTGTAAACAAAAAGTAGCATGAGAGAGTGTGAATGCAAGAAAGCGTCATGGTTCTTTGTATTATTGGCAATTGTGGAAGCAAAAGGGGGTTGAGATAGCATTTGTTTTTATTCTGTACCTGCTATTATCACTAATCAAGGTGAAGAGTTCAAGGAGTTAACCCAAGAGAGGAGATATCTATGGATTTCCATGATAGATTGTGCTGACCTGAAAACAAAGAATATTTTGCAGAATGAGTGTGTTTGTAGTTGTCACTTCGTTTCTGGCAGGCTTGCAGCAAACTGGGATAGGATCAATGAAGATTGGATTCCAACACATCATTTAACCAAGAAAGAGTACAAGAAAGAAGATGTGGAGGCCACTGCTCAGAGGAGTGAGCAAGTGAAGGCCTGACGGAAGAGTGCGATCAAGGGGCAAGAACAAGAGGCAGCCAAGAAGAGAAAATTTATAGATGGAAGTGGAGAGCGGCGTATAATTGACATAGACTTTACCACTCCACCACCACGTCAACCTCAGAGAGCAAAGAAAAGAGCGAAGCAATGATGCTAGATGAGCCTTGTGCGAGTGGCAAACAAAGTGTAACAGACACTGCTTCCCTTGTGTCAACTGCGATAGCAATGAATGTCGAAACACAAACAGAAGAAAAGGGTGAAATGAGCACCGCTTCTTGCGTGTCAGCAGTGACAAAAATGGATGCCGAAACACAAACCAAAGAATTTGACTACCTTCTGAATGCTAGGCCAGTGGATACAAGGCACCAGATAAAGAATTTTTTGATATGGACGAAAAAGTTTGATTTTACACCGGACTGCCTTCTTGGGAAATACTCATGGTGGCGTTTGAGCATGTTGCCAGGTACATTACCCGCCGCACACAGTCCCTGAACAGATTTCAGGAATTTATCAGGTTGCTCATCAAGCTGCGGCTAAACATTCCCTTTCAAGACCTAGCTTACCGGTTTGTGGTTTCAATATCCACAGTTTCAAGGATCTTTTCATTGTGGATGATGGTGATGCATGCCCGACTGTCTTCCCTGGTTTTTTTGGCCAGACAAGGAAAGACTATGGAGGACAATGTCTATGTCCTTTCAGTATGCCTTTGGTAAGCAGGTCACAGTAATAATTGACTGCTTTGAGGTGTTTATTGATAGGCCAACAAACTTACTTGCCAGGGCACAGACTTTTTCTAATTATAAGCATCATAACACAGTAAAAATTCTTATTGGAATTACTCCATAAGGAACTGTCTGTTTTGTGTCTGAGGCTTGGGGTGGCCGCACCTCTGACAAGTACTTGACTGAGAATTGTGGGTTTTTAGAAAACCTACTTCCTGGTGACATGGCCATGGCTGATCGAGGATTTACTATTTGTGATAGTGTTGGGCTGAAACAAGCCAAGTTAGTAATCCCAGCATTTACTAAGGGAAAGTGACAGTTACATCCTGTAGATGTGGAGCAAACAAGGGGCATTGCAAATGTGAGAATCCATGTGGAGAGAGTTAATGGTTTGTTGAAGCGAAAGTACACCATTCTAGAAGGAACACTGCCTACAGACTTTCTCTCTTCCAACTGCAGAGGAACTCCAGATACTAAGATCCCCGTGATA